TAGAGGGACACCCATGCCAGAGTTGTGAGGCACTTCTAGACAATGTTGCACTCATATTTATTTCTCTGCCCTGACACGAAGGTTCACTCTTATGCGAGTTATGCTCTAGAGACCTATTTAGGAAGACGAGCCTGAAGGCTACAGCTTAGCCTGGGTTTTGGGTTAGATAAGGTAGAAGCCTATAAACTATAAGAATTGCTTAGCTCTTAAGAGGCTGAGGACAGGTTTTGTCCACCTGGCTATAGTTGGTCCTCCAGCAAACAAATGAGGCTGTCCTAATGCTAACGCTAAACCAAATGAGAGGATAAGGAGTTGTACAGACAGAATCTAGGGATCTCCTACATTAAGAAGTGACTTGCCAGGTGAAAAGGGCTGACTGGAGCAGCTGTTGGTCTACATTACCAAGGTTTCAGCATACAGAGGCTTAGTAGCATGAGTAATATGAGAGTTCAGAAGGTGACCGCAGAGGCCAGTGATTGTTCTGGAACAACTAGGCAAGCAGGGCTGGACAAAATGCTTAAGACAGATGTGGTTATGTTCAAAGTTGGCAGAGATCATTGACCTGAAGTATCATCTTGATCCATAAGGGGGCATAGGTCTAACTTGGAGATTAACCCTGGGAGGAGTAACCGGGCAAACCCTACAACTGTTTAAAAGACAATGGCTAAGGCTGATGGCATCATTACAATCCAGGTCAGCAAAGGCCAATGAACCAGGGCACTGGTTGTGCTCAACAGAGACTACCAGGAAAAGATGCACAAGACATAACTGATTAACTTTAGCTTCAGATTGGAGCTGTATTTTAAAGTAAAGTTAGTTGCCAGAAAGCCAAAATTTGAGCATGAACATTAGGATGTAGACCAGAAGAGGCCATTTATCTAATGTAGGTAGTTATTTTAGAAAGCATATGCAAGGTAAATGGACCTTAGTCAGTTAGATGACTTGGCTACATTTGTTTCTGAGGATGAAAGTTATAGTTCACAGAATTAATGCTATGGTAAGGGTTTGTCTAGGATTGAGTTTATAGTTGGAGCTAGGATGATACTTGTTTGGAAAGGTGGTAGCTTATGTAACTTGAGAAGAGCTGGTCATAGGAGCCACTTAAGTACACATACGTAGACCAAGCCGAGACAGGTACCTTCTTTATTACAATTAGGACTAAGAGGCAAGTTAGGCAGAGCAAGTAGAGTCTGGGAAAGATGAAGATAATTATGATTTCACCTACATGCAAAAATAGACCCCTCAGTTAAGACAGAGAAGTGCTTAAATTTTTTAAAATGTATTTAATTCTGGGTAAAGGAATTTAGAGATAATTTGCAATTTGTAGGATCAGCAAATGGGAAGGAAATAGAAATTGTTACTAGGTTAATATAAGTATGCTGATCACATTAGGATAAGTCTCCGCTAGAATTAAAAACAAACAAACAAAAAATATCCTCCGTGTTTCAGTCAGAAGTAATTGATCAACAATAGCCTTAAAACAAAGTTTCTGTCTAGCTAAACCCAAAGCCACTTAAACCAGCTCCAACACTACATGTCAGAGAGTAGCTCACACCAGCCCTGATCTCAGGTTAGCACTCTAAATTCTTTCTTTTACTAATACTCACTCAAATGTCTCTCTCAAAAATTATCCCACATGGCAGCTATCAAGGCGCAGGTACAGGTATTGGTATCTGAGAAACACACAACAGCGTTCTTTCCAGCACAGCCATCTCTGTCATCCTCTGAATAGCATGTAGGCAAACAGAATAGCAGTATTTGCATGTTTAGACATTCAGAAATTGGAGTTTATGATTGGATTTAGGATGAGATTTTCCATGAGCTGAAGAGCAAGAGTAAGGTCTGGTCTGGTAGACCCTGTACTAATTTGGGGACTGGTGCTTGCAAAGGGCTACCTAGATATTCTTCTTATGCGAAAGTATCACCTTGAGAGCAGCATAAGGAGTCAAAAAAAAGAAAAAGTCTCATGTTCCAAGAAGTCCTACTTAAAGCAAATACACTAGTACTATCAACTATCAGATAGGGTGAGCACTTTTTTTTTTAGCTTACCCCTTTTTCTTAGAAGCCAGACTGGGTGAATACTAAGATAAATACTGTTATACTATCACAGTCTTGCAAATAAAGTCTTCAAGATTATTTTCTTTTTTCATTCTTTTGAAAGAATCCTCCCTCAGTTCACAGTCACATCCAATGCTAAGCAAAATCAAAGGCAATTACTCATACAACTTCTGGCATAACGTGTTTTGGTTTGTGGATGAATTTTGAAAAAGTTTTACAGAAAATGAAAATGTCATAGTGTGAAGTTTGTCTGTATTTGCAAATGTTCACTCAGCCCTTAGATTTGAACATTTGTGGAGGTTAGTGCTTCCTCACAAGTTACCTACCAAATAAACCATCATTTCCCTAGTTTGACTTTCAATGCCCTGAACCAAAGAATACCTAAACCAGTTCTGATGGTTTCCAATTAGTTCTGCAATACAACTAAATAGTTAATTATCAATGTTTGGATGAATTCTCAAATACTCTGATACTAAAATTTGTCTGTGTTTACTCAGAATTACTCAGATAGTTAGCACACTTGTTAAAAGCTGATTGCAAATAATGTAACCAAGGGATATATCACTACTATTCTTCCATGAAAGACGAACAATGCATAGTTAGATCTAGCCGAATGACTCAAGACAAGAGGGGAAAAAAAAAAAAAGGATTATTGGAGCAGTGAAGACATTTTATCTGTTCTTGCAACTTATAATATACTTCACTGAGATACCTCTTGCCAAACTTTATCAACAAGAAAAGTAAAAAACAGGAATCATAAGGGGAATGAAGTTAAATAAAATATATGGATCATGTTACCTTTTGTAAATGGGCATTGATCCTGAAGCCACTTCCGTCTGACCTGATAAACAAATCCCCTAGAAACAAATCTACAGGAACAAAACCTAGTTCCCTATACCAGCATTCAGTAAGGAGACTTCAGAAGAGAAAACGCTACTGCTAAGCCTAGTATCGGTGAATCAAGCACTTGCCGAAAATTTGACTTAATTGCATACAAAAAGGATGTGACATACTGGAAGTTGGTAAATCTTCACCTGGCTACATTGGTAAGTTTAATCATATACACTAATTTTTCTGCATGTGTGTGGCATATTTCTGCACTTTTTTTAACAATGTCTTTTCTTTACAAATGTTTTGCTGCTGAGAGATTCTACTCATAAAAGTAACCTATAGGTATTCATAAAGAAACATGTACATTTCAAATTAGTAAAAAAAAAAATCTAATTTTTAATAGATTTCTGTGAAAAGACTTCTTTAATCTTTTCTACTTCTGCAACAGAACACTATTCACATGAATATCTGGAAGATCCATGCCGAGTTCCAAAATTCTGCATGGAGAAGAGGTGATTATTCAAAAAAATTAAAGAAAATAAAAAACCCAAGAGAATGCCTGGCCAAACAACAATCAGTTAGATGTGATCACACTTCACAAAATAAAAGTCTTGAAAGATTAAAAAGCAATAACGGCAAATCTCAGAGCAATGGTATACAATCATATCTTTGCTCACAAGTGGAAAATAGTAATAATTTGTCATTACTGTCATTCATGATATACCTTGAATGTGATTTTTAGTGCTTGTCCATTTAATAAGCATATATGTTAATTATCCCTTACCTATTTAAAAAAGGAATTAATAGATGCTAATATATTTTGTGGCTATTCACTACACTTGTGAAAGAAGCAATTTCCATCATAAAGATATGCTTTTTATACATCTGAATGATTGTCATATAATGGCTGAAGAATTTGTAAAAAGCAATACTTTGAACTAGCAAAACTGATGAAAAAAATTTGTTTCTAATAACTTTGTAAATCAATCTGGTGGGACTATATAATTAAGACAAAAATCATATTCAACGTGCAGTATTCAATAGCTCAAGAAAAAAGTCAACATATGTCTTGCATAAACTCATTCTAATAAATAAAAGTGCCCAAAAGTAGCCAGCAATCATGAACAAATTTAAGATTCCTCTTAGCAAACAAAAAAGCTGAATTAAAGAGGAGATTGAATTAATAATCTTCAGTTATAACCTGAAACTTTAGACCAGTTTGAGAGACTTGTCATCAAAATATCTTAAAATAGAGCGTCATGAATCACAGAACATAAGATTATTTACTGATCAATCAACAGATAAGTTACTTTGATAAATTTTTGTCTTCATTATTTGATTACAACATATACGTTTACTACAAAATACTTTTCCTCCTGAAAAGAAAAGCAAGAGTGGTTAGACTCACCTTACATAAATGTCAAATTGTATTTGCTTAAGCATTCAGCAAGCAATTAGTATTTGTACATAAATGATTTTGCAACAAGTAGGAGTCCTGAGAGCTAGTGACTTAATTTTTATCCCACGTACAGCAGTGTCACAATCTCACTTATTGATGGGGGAGTGGCAGCAGCAAATTAGGTGGCTGCAGTAACAGATGAGAAGAGTTTCTAATTACACAGCTAGTCTTTACCATCTAATTAGCTCTATTGACTGATGCTGACACTGCTTGCACACTCAAAGCTAGCGGCTGTCTAAACAGCTTGTTGAAACTGGGTCCTGAAACTGTTGAAACCTGCATCTAAGCAGGATTCAAAGTGCAGGTAATTGTTTCTGTACTAGTGCACATATCTACATTATTTTGTTTAGACTTTTTTCCATTTGCATATTTTGCCATATAAAAATTCATACGGCAAATCTCTAAGAACCTTTTCTGATCACATTTCCTAGGTACACACAGCTATAAATCTTCATGCTGCAAATAAAGAATGCACCAACCAACCTCTGATTATTCTCCAGACCTGGTCAAAGAAACATGCATCAGTGTGGAACTTCTAAACAGGGAAGCTGAGCTTCATAAAGAAAATGTTGCTTTATCTGGAAGCAGCAGTACAGAAGATGTCTTCAGTCCCTGTGAAACACAAGCAGTATCAGTTTGTATGGACACCACCATGCCTTCAGGTGACTGCATTCGAAGACAAGGTTATACAGAGTCTTCACTTCTGAAGCTTCCCACAAAAGAACGGATTGGGAGCCACCATGCACCTTTCCAGTTTGACCGGCATGCTCTGGCCAGAATTTCCACTTCGCCAACCTTAAGGCGTCTAAGGATGGCCTCTGCCTCGCAATCACTGTTATTTCAGGACTGCTATGACACAGCTCAACTGGGGAATCAAAAGGAATACACCGGCTCTCCCCACCACATTTGTAAGAGTCCACCTCGGTGCACTACGGCTTCCTCATTGTTGTTACCTTCTTGTGTCCATGCAAAATTACTGTCTTCCAAAGCCAAGTCTGAGACAACTATGGCAGATCCAGAGTCTGCCAGCCCCAGATCAAAGCTGCCAAGCCAAAAAGATCCTCTCAGCGATGGCAGCCCCAATGAGACACTCCAAAACTCTTGGAGAGCCAACTCTGCTACACTGCCTAGGAGATTCCCCTGTCCCAGCCCTACAACGCAGGAGAGTGTCCAGGTAAGAGGAATAGGAAGATGCAACCTCCTTTCCAGTCTTGCATATTCAGTGGTAGTCCATCATGGCCCAGTGCATAAACAAAACCACAGTTCTTAACCTGAACTGCACCCTGGCCCATGTCCCTTTGCTACAACAGACCAGCTTCTACGCTCATCAGGAAGGGAGACTTTTCCTTCCAAGTCAGCAAGAGGCAACAGTTCCAGGCTTGTCCATTAGTGACCAGGTTGGCCTAGGCCCCTCCTGCACATGGACCCTCTTTCCCACCTCTGTCCATTCATCCTGGTGAGCTAGTATAACTGTTTGTGGGGCTATGAAAGAACAAGACTAAGCATTTTATCCAGTTCTGGTTTGGGTTTTAGATTTTTTTCTTTCCAGGATTTTTTTCTTTAGCAGGGTTCTTCCTAAGCTGGAGGAGTTCTCTATTCTGTTTTACTGAGTAGCATTACTAACCCCAGCAAAACCAAGAATTAAGTCATTCAAGATGGTTGAGCCAAATTTAAGGTTTGCTACTACCAAAGGAAGAGGTCCCATTCCCTGCCTTTATTTCCACTTACCTAGATCTGCCACTGGCCCCCTCCATTTTTATGTTCAGCTCCATAAATGAGCAGGCAACTGTGCAATCTTTTCTGAAAAAAAGAAACACTGGTTCAGTGAGTGCCACCATCAGTAAAGAGAAATAAACAAGGGAGGAGCTAGCCCTTCATCTTTCCATGGCAGCAAACCACCATTCAGCCATCCGCCATAGCTTCACACCAAGCAGAAAAGGAGAGGCACTTGCATAAGCCAGGTTTGCTACTAGAGCTACTCTCCCAAGACCTTGCATTACTTGCACAAGCAGTTAAATTCGGACACATACTTTATTCCATCCTCATGCAAAGCACCTGCACATGTTTCACTGAACGTGGATGGTGTCAAAATAGGTGTCGAGCTCTTTACTAACCGGTTAATATCATGCCACAGACCAAAAGATATTTCCCTCCCACTTTAAACATCAGAAACATTCTGGGGTATCAAATGAGTTCTGCTCCTTTCTCCACAACAGCAAAAATCATTAGCCGATGTCTAAGTCAATGTAGTACATTTCTCTTAACAAATCAGTACTTTTTTTCACAAGATCAGATTGCTTGTTTGCTTTCTGACCAAGTAACAAGAATATCTCACTTTCTTTCAGACAGGTGGATTGCCTATACAAAGGTATGCATATATCTTATGTCTTATCTTATTCTAAGCTTCACTTCTGTACACTTTTAATGAATCCACTTCACTCTAAGACAAAACTGAACAGTGAGGCATGTACGTGTAACGCAACTTTAATTTGTAGATTTGCTTTGTGAAATGTCTGTCACCAGCTTGTTAAACTAAACTTTCTAATGAGATTTTCTTTCAAATGTGGCCCTCTCCCCGACAGGTTTAGCTATATTTCACACAGTATTTCAGCTGGACCATCAGAGAGCTCTGCACTAGGAACTAAGTGTGAAAAGGTCTGGCCGTTTGGATTAGCAGTGTCAAATTTCAGCTTGAAGAATGTCAAACATCTCATAATCTTGAGCGACATTCTTCAAAACTTTGTGGGAGGGAAAAGGGAGCAAAGAAGCTAGAACAGCTTGATATTGTTCTCCTACATCAGCAAAGCAGATCTTGGACTGCTACTGAATGGGGGGATCGTTAATCCTACAAACTAAGAAAAATACTTGAATTTTATAAATTTGTGCAGGCAATATAAGGTGTTCCATATCATAGATCTATGCAGTGAATTGCATCAAGCTCTTACAAGCAACTAACAGACAGTAAAAGCTTGATTAGAAATTAGTTTGATTCAGCCATGTTTGTTTCCTTAAGATGTTCAAACGTTTACAGAAGGGAAACAAAGTTTGTTTTCTCCCCACACAACAAGGAAGTAGGAGCTAGTACTTCCCTTAATAACCATAGCTCTCTCACTGATGGTGCAGTGCTCACTTCACTGCATGATCCCCTTGAAGGTTTCAGGTGGAGCACACAGGTGAGCGAGGTATATTACAAGCACCAGCACTGGTGGGCAAGTCTTGGTGAAGACAGAAGTAGCCTCACAACAAAGAGCAACATGCTGCTTCTGTGACTCTACCATAATGTGGGTCACTTGTTAAGGAAGTAGGCATTAACAGTTGAGCTGTGTCTCCTCTTCTTCCCAATGTTTGCTCATTTTTCAGGTAAAAGTTCCATTATAACCTTAGTTTACAAACAGGTCTGTGTTTCAAGTATGTTTATGTTTGGGACTGGGTGGGTTGGAGCAGGCTGACACAGTCTATGAGTCTACACGAGGCTTAACAGATGTGTGTGCGCATCTGAAATCACATTTTCACTGTAGAAGAGGCCTCCTAGATTTTCTGAATTGTTGCAATTTGCAACCCACTCTAACATTTTGAATTTACAATGCAGATGGAGAGAGGAGGGGAGGGAGAGATCTTTGTGTCTTGGTGTGAAAACAGGTGATCTGTACCTATTATGGGAAGATGCTCTGATCCAACTCAAAACCGTAATATATAAGCAGATCTCACTGACAGGGTGACGATTTGTGTGATCTGCAGCAAAATTCAGGGGAGAATGTGAAGAACACTGAATGCAAGTGGTTAAATGGGAACATTGGACATTTCATGTACACACCTTTTCTTGGTGCCACTTGCCTGGCACCTTCAGAGGGAAGCCACTATACGCTAGCTAGGATATTGGCTCTGAACTTCCATCCAGACACATTTTAAAATCAAGAAATCACACAAGGAACAATGCAGGCTTTGTTCCATAGCCACCAGCAGGAAAGATTGAGAAAAGGAGATTTGGATGATGTGTTATGATTTCTTTTTTTTTTTGTCTTGACCCATATTAGAATGTGCAGAAATATAAAACAAAAATCATCAGTTTCTGCTTTAAACATTTTTTTTCAAGTTGAATTTGGTCCAAGGTCTGGGCGAAGGCTGTATTCAGCTCCTCCTTTATCTAAATCATTAGTCTAACGCCTTAACAGTTAATCCCTTCTTATCACAGCCAGAGAAAACTGCTGAAATGTCAGATTATTCTCTCCATCTAGAAGCATATTGGGATGGTTGGCAACCCTCCTCCAAGACTGACATGTATATTGTCCAGGGTAAAAACATACCTCCATCTTTCAATTTTAATGAACATCTCTTCTACCTGCTCCCAGGCTATACTTTGAAAAGCCTTCCTTAAAGCAGCAATGCTAATTTTAAACAACATTCCCACACACAGCCCTCAGCCAGGAATGCCTGGCATCTCTGTCGGCATGGCAACATGCTGAACTGGTGCTCATTAAAAATAATCAGCCAAATAAATAAACAAAAAGGACAAAAGGAGTGGCACAGAGAAAGGTGTGTGTGGTGGAGACAGGGTGAGATGTTAAAGCCAACTCTGCTGTGGAAGGAAATGTTGATAAAACCTTTCATTTACTCTGAGCTCATTTTCACCTTGCACTGTTCAGCATAACAGAGACTAGGTGGAAAACTGGGTTGCACCAGCATCCTAAAGGCAAACAGATAATGAAGAGTCTTCTCAGTAACTGCCAAGGCAGCTCATTTTCAATGAATTGAGGGAGCTGGGCTCATCTATCTTGAAGCGCTCCTCTTCCTCTTTTAATGTCTGATATGCCTGTAAAGTGTCATGCTAAGTCTTTGAATCAGGAAGTCCAAACACCCTCCCTGAGTGGCTTGGGTAACAGTGTCATCACCTGGCAGCTATCTCAATACTGTGACCACCCTATGATGTTGACCTTTGTAACCTCTTCAGATGCTTTTATTCTCATCTAGCTGAGATTCCTTTAAATAACATACCTGTTATTTAAGTGATTTATATAGATGTCTGTTCCCTGGGACAGCTAGTTACGTGAAGATCATGGACATATCAAGATACAGACCTCTAAAAAGCAGTCAGCTGAAACTCCCCATGCCCTAGAAACAACTATACACACAGGATATTTATTTTTCCAGACCATGAGCTGCTTCAGTGTCTTTAATAATTTTCCATAACTTTGTAATGTAAACCTGTGACATTATCATGTTTTATAAAACAAGTAGATTTAAAGGAGGAATTATTGCAGACGATATCTCCTCAGTGCTTGAGTTCATAGCTGAAGTACAAGCATTTCTTTTACTCAAATAATTCAGTCTTCTGCCCCTATTAAGAAAACAAACAAAAACTAAAGGAAAAGGCAAAGCTACAGGATTTTCAGGCATTAAAGGATGCTAAAATACTGCATACAGACTCAAAAACTGGTTAAATTGCATCACAAGGCACTTCAGTAGTTTAATTTCTCCAGTAAAACCAACAAAAGCATCTAACGTATCCAATACATCTACAGGCATCAGGCCAAGTCATCACAGATGCTTGTACCTTCATCTGTGAAGCATGAGTACGTAATTTAGGGATGTAGGTCATTAATCATCCCAGGCACGTCAGATTGCAAAGGTATGTTGTAGATACACATCCAAGTGACCTTGGCATGCTCCCACACATCACAGGTTTGCATCCCTATGTGAAGAGCTTGTTTAGACACATGTGTGTCTGAAGATCAAGGCCTTTTTGATCTAGGGAAATAACAGCATTTAACTGAGTTGCAATGAAACTATGCTTCCCATTACTAATCTTCGTAAACCACTAGCATGCAAGTTCAAAATATATTTTGAAATTTAAGTAAGCTAGATACTTTAAAAATCAGTAACACATTGGCAAAATCTTACTGTGAATCCAACCTGAAATAAAGGACATGAATGACACTCCTAGTACAGCAGTGCCAACTTTAAGAATTATCCTTCTATTATATGGCAGCATCTGGCTTGTATAATTTACAAGCCAGCTGCCCAAGAGATTGTATCGTGGAATCACTAGAGGTTTCAGAAACATCTTAATACAATTGCTACCAACACTTGAAATTTGCACTGGGTAGCACCCGGCACGCCTCATCGGGAAGTGGTCTCCCTTGCGCTGGTATGGGCTTGCAGACAACCAAGAAACAGACCCCATCCATAAAAGCTCTCAAACTGTGTGTTAAGTTCAATTTCATGAGGAACCTCAGATTTTCATTGTAAATCCCTAAAAGATGAACAAAAAGATCCCATGTTCCCCATTCAGCAGGGCTACCAGAAAAGGAAAAGCTTTTATAGAATGCGCACATTGCACATTGTAAACTCCTCAACACGTAGTTTTCAAGCCCTAAGATGCCCATGTTTCAAGTGTTAAAGTCCCAGACCTGGCCCTCCTGATAGCTTACAGCCCTCTCTGTTGTTAGGAGAGGTCTTTCCTATCATTTATGCAATTCAGTTGGTTTAGCTAAGGCAATTGCAAGAAATGTCACTGTCAGATCATAACAAAAAGCATAATCTCCATGTCCTGCTATACATATCAAATCCCAGTTCTCTACCTTAGACCTCATCTGCTACTGGGTAAGTTGTCAAGTGACTATTCATGCACTTAAGGGGAAAAATTTACCCTCCCAGATTTTACGTCGGGTGTTGGCAAATGGCTAGACAGTCACTTTAAGTTATCTGCCTAGGCAAAAAAAGCAATAAGAATTACACTTAACTGACCAAAAACACCATACACAATAAATGGTGACTGTGAAAGAGAATTTTTATATATGTACACACACTTCATGCCTCCTCCCTCAGCTACTTAATTACTGACCCTTTGAACTTTAATGCGGTCTTCATGCATCAGTCAATTGAAGACAGCACAACAGCAGCTGTAGACACCAGTCACTTTGCAACAGTATACTACACAATTAATTAGGTATCGGTGTGAGTTACTAGCGAAATCCAAAAAGATTTTTGATGTGCACCAAGAGTTTTGGTATTTGAATGCAAGCAGCCTCTGGCACAAACATGCTGCTGGACACAGAATGTCTGTGTCACTTCACTTGATGGATCTACACCCTTCCGTTAGCAACAACAATAGTTGGAAAGAACCATTTGTTTTCGATCAGCAGGGCTGCTAAGTCATATTATATTCAAAACACAAAATATTTGATTTAGCAGAAAAAAACACCGAAAAGGTTTAGAAAGAAAATAGCACAAAGTAGCCAAAAAGTTAAATATTAAAAAAAAAACAAACACCAACCCACAACATTTTAACTGTTCCACTAGTATGCTGTCTTTTCTTGAAATCACCGTAGTTATATGAATGTTAAAAGTAATAACAACCCACATATCAGCTAAGGACACAGCATTTAACTGCTCCTTTGGACATAGATTCTGAAATCTCCACTAACTTTTTGCCTAATCTCAGAAGTACCCAGGATTTTCCAATATTTAAATTCTCTAAGTACCTATTTTCTGAGGCAAGCCATGGCCATAAGCACATGGATCTCAGCAACAATGTGGAGTTGGAAAGATAATTAGGTATTTGCTGTTGATCACTGGAATTGTCTGCTCATTCTTCCTTTAACACACTATGTCATAGCCACTGTGATTTGGGGTTTTTTTAGCTCATTTGCTCCTATATCAGCAAGGAGCACTTCAGAAGCTTCCTCTGCAGCCACGAGCAGAGAGAGATGATGTGTGTTGTTGTTGCGTCTCACAGATTAGCCGAGCGCAGGCGTAGCTCCGTGGTAGTGAGTCTGCCGGGACTCGAGGTGTTCCCTGGAGACCTCCTGGTGTCAGACAGTGCCATGGACTACCTGCCCCACATGGCCCTCCTCCTAAGTGCAGGTCAGACACAGGGTGGGATTTGCTTATCTGAGCCCAGCAAAAGCCACGACTGAAACGTGTATGTGTGTGTATGTGTGTGTGTGTGTGAGATGGGGAGGGAGGATCCGTGTGATGATGACACATGAGGCAGCACAGCCTCCATGGGGGATCCTGTTACCCCACACCAAACCTACTGCATCACTAATTTTAAAATTCCCCTCAATTTATTTTTTATGCTTGTATTTTATTGTTGAATGCAAAATGTAAAAGGTAGATGAGAGGGGCAGGACAAGGATTACCTCCCTCCTCCACAGGCTACGAGCAACCAGATCCCAGGTCAGGATCTCCATCTGCAAGTAGCTGAGTTACAAATTCCTACCTGCACAGCTTCAAGCAGAGGGAAGAGAGTGGCCCATGCCACCCTTTCCAGTAGTGCTCTCATCATGAGGGTAGCAGACCCAACTCATAGCTAGAAGTTGCTCACAAGACCTTCCAGCACTGAAATACAGACCTGCAAGCAATTTCCACAAATATCTATTGCAGAATATAGTATAGTGTACAGTGCGATTGCCAGAGACCAGAAGATGCTGGTGACCAAAGATCAAAATTTTCTCAAAAAATAAGTAAGTCAAGGTCACAACCAGCAGTTTCATGAAAGCAAACAAGCCAGCCTTCCCCAGAAAGATAGACCAAGGCCTTCAAAATCCAAAAGGAGAAAGTTTCAACTGTGATTCCCAGTCACACACAGGCCTGAAGGTAGGTGCCACATATAGAAAACTCTTTCAAATTCTTGCTGAACACACACAGGCATTCCTCAACTCTCACCAGTGCATTTCTGCATCTAGACACCCAGCTTTCCCTATGCCTCACTAAGGACAATGAATTACAGCCTGCACCACCATGCCAGCCCCTCGACAGACCTGAGAGACAGGGTTTGTAGGATTTGCTTATTCACAGGAGTTTTAAATACCTACATAGCTCCAAGATATCACTAATGAGCAGACAAAGCCTAATTCTTGCTTCAAAACAATTAATATCTTCAAGAATTGGCTTGGGGTGTGATGTGTTTCCCCATGTAAAGAATCGGCAATCACATACTGGTCATCTGCAGCAAGTGAGAGTGTTAGCATCATCCAAGATCCCATCACAGATAGACATAATTCTCGCTGGGAGGAACCCAACCGGCTTAGTGGGTTTTAAGTCTGGTGCACAAACTGCCTGAACACAAGTATTAAATCTGAGCCAAAAAAAACAAAAACAAAAAAACACTCACACAAAACCTGTAAATAACGGTTTTATTTTTAGCTATTTGTTTCTTTGCTGATAACACATTTGTTTTACCCACTAGAGTCCAAAAAGCCAAGGTGGCCATTTGCCAAAAAAGGAGTTGTGAGTATTTCACCACATTTTTTTTATTTTGCACTGACCTTGCCTTCTCCCACAACTATCCTGAGTAAAAAGAGCTTCTTTTCTTTACTGCCCTTGGAGAAAGGCAGCCAGCAGGTGAGCTGAACTCGGAGGTCTCAGCCCACCCTGGGACTGCTTGGACAGTAGTCTGCAATGAAGGTAGTGCGGCTTCAGTGCAGCCACCAGTGCTGCTGCATGTGATGCACACAAAAATGCAGTCAGCGCCGCTGCTCCCTGTCCCCATGGGTGGTGGGAGGAGAGGTGCCCTCGGCACCAAGGGGGCAGCTCGGGGCGGGCAACATGGGACCTCTCATTCAAGGTGTTCAGGAGTGGTGGCAGGTCCGGTGCAGCTCCCCAGTTTAACAGAGCACCAGATGGGTAAGTCAGTGGCATCGTTGCTTTGACCACGCTGTATCTTCTCTTTTCTGCATGCCAACCTAGACCTTAGTGCCTTAGGGCTCTGGAGTATCTGCCTAACTCCCACTCACATGGAAGGGATCTAGGCTTTACCTACCCAAGTAGCTTTTTAGATGCTTTCTTAGTCTTTTCCTGTCCTCATGGGCACCCTCGCACTCTCCACTAAAAGCATACATGTCAACACACCTCAGTTAATTTCCTTGTCTTACACATTTCCTTGTCTTTTCCAGTTACAAAAATTTTCACCTACTATGGTATTCTGAATTTCCTTTTTGAGTGTTGTTCATAATTCAGAAAAATCATTTACAAGTGTCTTGATAACTTCGCACCCCTAAACATGTAATTGTGAACAGTCCCTTCCTAATATTTTTTGCATTTTGTCTTCTAAATCTCAGCTACCAAAGAAGAGCTTGTGCAAGCGAAACCAATGCAACTACTCAGATTAGCATGTGCAGAAGTTCACACTTCATTTGATAGCATTTCTATAGCATTTGAAGGAGCATGGCCTAAAACTGAGAATTTTTTAATTCAGCAAAACATTTGACATTTGCAATAAAATGCATTTGATATGTAGCCAAAAGTGATTTCTGAGACTATTAAATGCCATAAAATTTAATTTATGAAGATTCATTTGCTGGTGCATTGGTTAAGTGTGTGTATTTATAATTGCATTATTGTTTCTGTTCTATTTCAAGCTATCTTTTGAAACTAAGAGTTGAGCTTAAACTCTGAATTTCAAATATTATAATCAAACACATATTTCAAAATTAGCTTGAGTTCAGTGACTAAAGTTCAGACAATAGAAATCCATGAAGTATGAGTATACAGTTCCAAAGAGCAGATAAAACTTAGGCAAACACCTTATAAGTCTATGCTCACAGCACTAAATTAGAGTTCATAAATATTAGTTAAACCTTTTACATGGCACTATCAGCCTGAAAAACAAACTAAGAGTTGAGCTTAAACTCTGAATTTCAAATATTATAATCAAACACATATTTCAAAATTAGCTTGAGTTCAGTGACTAAAGTTCAGACAATAGAAATCCATGAAGTATGAGTATACAGTTCCAAAGAGCAGATAAAACTTAGGCAAACACCTTATAAGTCTATGCTCACAGCACTAAATTAGAGTTCATAAATATTAAACCTTTTACATGGCACTATCAGTATGAAAAACAAAGCCAAACCAAAAGCAATTGTTTTTATTTCATGATCCCTCACACAGACACACTCCTCCTGCTCTTTAAGCATTCTAAAAGCTCATTTTATAGATACCACTCTGCAGCTGACTAAAGGAGTTTTTTCAGTAGGTAGCTCAAATAAAAAATTAAAATAAAAATAAACAAACACACAAGCTTTGTATACCTATGGCAGGAGGATGATTTCAACTATGAGTTTGTTGTCCCCTACTTCTGACAGTGCTGAAGGAAGGAAAATATTTTATTTGTTCTGTCAGCTGAGGGTAGCCCATTGTCTGTTGCCATACCAGTGATTTGCCCTGCCAAAGACTTCTACGTTACATGAAGATCTTACACACTCACACCTAAGCCATTTACACACCCCACCCATAGCTACAAATAAACCTGCCATCACCGCCTCTCTGTAGGAGAGCCTGGAAATATGAGGAAATCACTCAGTTAAGGGCAAGCTCCTTATCAAAGCAAGGTTACTGAGCTGGGTAAACTTCTTACCTGTCTTTAATCATTGCATGAATCAGAGGCAGGGTTTTGTCATTCAACAGGCTAAAGACAAACAGAAGCAAGCATCTGATCTGGAAAACTGTCTTTCAACTGTTAAGATCGTAGACTGCTGCACATATGAATTTTTCTGCTTTAAGGTATCATAATACTCAGTATATTGTACCAAGGATATTTAAAGATGTGGGTAAAAATTTTGAGTACTTTTCAAGTTATGTTTTTTCACTATATTAATCTGGATATGAGACCTTTCTGCAAAAGTAATGTATAAGCATAAGGTATATTTTTGTTGTTTAAAATGGAGGGGCAAGGGGGAAACTGTGAGTGTTGCAGGTGGTTAGCAAGGGCCCTCACAACCACCTGGGTTTTGCCAGGCTTCCAGATTGCCCTAGATCAAGGGGGTACCAAATTTAGAAAAAGGCATCAAGACAACCCTCTCAGCAGTGCCTGCAGATCTGGGGAAAGAAATTGCAGCATCACAGAGACACCAAACGGGGCACAGTCACCCCCACTGCTGCCTTAGGGGTGCATCCTGAGGCAGCCATGTAGAGGTCAGTGCCGACACCAAGGTTCAGCTGCAGAAATCCCACCAAAGCCTGTCTGTCAGATGAACAAGGTTCCTGGCCTCCCAGACCCTCTAGCCTTAGCTTGGGCTGCCAGGGCGATATTCAGACAACCCACACCATCCCGCTCCAAAGCAAACCTTTTGCTTCTTACAGATGCCTGTTACATGCAGTTCCTCATAGACTTAGTTGTTCAGGGCTCCTATCAGTGCCTAACTTATATGTGAACATCTGACTTTGGAGCAGGTCAGGAGGGTGATAGTGGCCACCTGAGGGCTAAACAAAACAATATCCAAGTACGCATGAAGACTTAGTCCTTTGGTACCTTGATTTTACTGCCTGTAAAATAGGAAGCTATCACCCACACCTGCTTTCCAGTAGCTGCAGCACCACAACAGATTAAATTCCTTAGCATTTGCAACCTGCCCACTATTTTTTGATACAGCATCCTACAAACACAGGGTATCATACTGTGTTACTTTCAATTCAGTGTATTTATATTACAAATATTTTGGAGGAAAATGGCAGGGTTTTTAATCTTTTTAAAGGAATCCTTAAGCTTTCAGAAGAAGAATCACTAATACTGGCAGCTAGGCTCTTTACATGCGTAAATAGATCATAGGTTCTTTTCATAAGGTCTGAAGCAGTTGATGCAAGAGTCAGTGTTTTTTTTTTTCTTTCTTCTTCAATCAATAGAGTAAATCTTGGCATGAATTTATAAAGGCACAACAGACTGAGCAGAAAGATGTCGACAGCCGGTTAGAAGTGAAAAAAGAAGCAGCAGTGTGGGAACTTTTCACAAGCGAATGCACTTACTTTCTGGATCATTTGCTGGTTCTCAAGATGGTAACTTCAGATTTTATTTCTCAACAATAATGAAACATTATTTGCCCTGCTGTCAGCATGGCAGACATAAAGCCACCTGTAACCTCTCATTGGGTGTCTATAGGGGAATGACTTAAGTGCTTGGTTTTTCTTGCGTCTTGCCTGCTCGTCCTGTTTCCACAATTCCCTTTGGTTTTCATCTTCTTGATTGCATCTCTTTTTCTGGACATCACTTTTTAGTGCTTTGCAAACACCATCTGATTGCAGATCCTTCCAGTAATTTCATTGATATTCCACTATTCTTCTCACTAACTCTGAGCTGAAGCCACTCTCCAGTTGACTATACTGGGTATTTCTCTACCACTAGTCTGTAACATCATACTCTTTGTTTAACTTCATATAGAGCTGTGGTTAGATTATCCTGACTAGAGCATGAAAACCTCAGATCAGCAGACCTGTAGTTCTAATACTACAGGAAAACAAGAAAACTAAAAACAACTCTCCCAACAACTGCAAATTGCCTCCATCATGGTGAATTTTAAGAGCTTTAAAATATGTACAAGAATATTACACACTGTTAGAAGGATAGCTGCACTATCTACATTCATCACACATCAAAAGTTAGTGTATCCATTTAAAAAGATGGAAGCTTCTCTAAATATATTCCTATCATTTTTCTCTTATTCTGCAACAGACAATTTCAGATTTCTTATTAGTCAAAGGGAAAAGATTAGTGAAACATTTCCCATGTTGCTAAAAAGCTAGCCTAGGCAGTACAAGAAGTACTGCAAAGTAAAGGGAATAAATAGAGGAGTGGGTTGAATTCCTCCTTGGTGAGGCAGAACAGGAAGGGAGAGGAAATGGGATGACAGGACCAGTTATTGGTCCAAGGCAGGATGGAAGCATCCCTCCTTCTATACATTTTGTTCAGAGATCTGAGAAGATTAAGAACAGGTGAATCCTGGGAAGGAGGAGGGTAACAGGAGACATGCAGGCCCCTTGGCGAGTCTGAGGTAGGAACACACAGGCAAGCCTCAGCGAGCCCTGCGTGACCCATGAGTGATAAACTGCTCAGTCCATGCCAGCTTTCCAAAGGAAAACTTTCTTACCAAAGAAAGAACCCATTGAATGTGGGTAGCCAGTTTTACAGACACCTGCTACTCTAAGTACTTCCCAGTATAGATACATTCCACTGATTTTAATGAATGTCCACAGGGAGCTTTAAGATCACCATAAATCCCCTTTAAACTCTCAGGTCAACTATTCATGGCAAGAGAAGAATTACACAAAGCTAAGCAAACACTCTCACTAGCTCTTCAGTCTTGGCACCTGGGTGACGGGTTTTTTCATTAATGCTTTTCACACATACACAAAAAATTCTACTCAGTAATCTACATTTTTCAAGCCTTTTTCAGATTTAGGTCAGATTCAGCATAGCTCCAAGATCACCATCAGAGCTTAAATAATATAAAATCTTAAACAACCAATAAATACACATGCAGTTTTCACTCAATACAGGTTAAAAAAAAATCCAAATAGATCAAAAATCTTCATAAGCCCTCTACTTAGCTATTTCAATATTTAGTTTTTCCCATAGTAACTCTAAACAACTTATATAGCAGCAGATGCATGGGGTAGGAAGGAAAGCATTTAGATAGGTTATAGAAATCTGTAACTATGACTGATGTTGTTAATCCCTTCACAGAGATCTGCAGGGAGCTCAGTTGCCCCTGTTCAGCCAGGGAGCACAGCAGGGACATAGCTGCCGCCATGGCAGCTGCAGAGACACCCCTCTACCATCCTCCTTGGACAAAGCCCAATATTTAGCCTTCAGGCAGGTCAGGAAAAGTTTCTCAGAGTATCATCTTTTGCCCTCCCCAAATCAAATGATCACGTCATGAGAATAACAGTTTAAACATATTCTTTTTTGGGGGGTGGGCGGGGGGGAAGAGATACATTGATTTGGAACAGATAGTAAATAACATGGATTTGTTTTGTTTTTAAAGATATTTATGAACACTCTAAAATACCTCCAAAGTAATGATTTTCTCTTGGATGTGGATTTGTGGAGACTTTTCGCAAACTTAGAAGAGTTAAGCAAGGTGAGTAAAAAAATAAAAGTCTTACTGAGATCAGAAATCAACCAGGCCAATAAAAGGAGAAAAGAAACCATGCATAAAGTTTCTATTCAGATTCAATACTCACATTTGTAACTTAGTTCAGATAATTAGTCTTTCCTTCTTTTCTATCTGGTATATCAGTGGGGGTCAAATTTCACCAGTGCAAATTATTTTCATGTGCCTCCAGCAAGAGATAGACATTTGAACACAGAGGAGAGCTCATTTGGCAGTTGTTTCTGAAGTAAACATGAGTTTAAGACTAATTCTCATAAGCATCATCCTTTTAAAAGGATTTGTGAAGATAAACTCTGACTGCACAGTCCTTACAGCAAAACAGTAAGAATGGCATAATAACTACAATAACAAGTTTCCTTTCACAAACAGATGGGCACAAAGACTGCTGTCTATTATGCCACTCCAGTAGAGCAAGTTCAAACAAAATGATGACCCCCCTCTCCACCTGAGGTTTCCCTCGGTGCAAGTGGAAGGATACCGCCCATGCAGACTAGATGCTCCATGTTCACATGTTACTTACCCTCAAGATTCCAGGAGGAAGGAGACCATGAGGCTTGATGATGATGTGCTCCAGCTCTTTTCTCCTGGCCAGTTGCTGGGAGACCATTTTGAGCTCCTGGAAGCTAAAGGAACCCATAAGTCCAAAAGAGCTTTTACATAACTTTAATCAAAACACAAGTTTTTCTTAGCTTGAGAGCTCTTTTACATGACACCTCAGCCTTAATAGCAAAGTGAATTTTGGAAGGGGCTCTTCAGCTGCATGATTTCAACGACTGCTCACAGTCACACCACATGCCCTAAACCAATTACTTACATCAAGTTCTTTCCCTTGTTGGAACTGCCTTGCCTCAACAGTTAACATCTTCCTTTTTAGCCAAGACATGAAAAGCAGGAAAGTTCTTCAGAGTAGAGACAATTAGCCAGAGCTCAAACACATGAGCAAGTCACCTCTGCTCGGTGACTGACCACACACCAGGCGAGCTGCTGTGAGTGACCACCACGTTTGGAGCAGGTTTGAAGATACAAGGAAAAAGATTTTTAGCTGATGTGTTTCACCTTGCACTTGTGGTCTAAGACCATACATGCAGCCAACTACTACAGTTCAGCTGATGTGTGGTTGTCGATTCCTTTGTTCTTCTTCAAAGGGAGCGGGGTATATTGCTGTGTGCTATTTAGTGACCACAAAAGCTCTGAGCTTGGCTGGAGGTTGTCTTGTATTGAGAGAATTATCTTTAATATATTTTCTATTTTGTTTTCCGATTTTGTTGTCCTTATTAACGAGGATGATAAATTATCATCTATTACGCGTATTTGTATATAAAATAGTGATCAAATGTAGGAGAAAGTAGCTGCTCTCAATGCCTTTGCGTTTTGTTCATGCATTTTACGACATGTATTTCTTCTTGACAGCAGGCTGAATGCATGCTGTAAAAGGTGTAAAATGCACCTTTGTCAAAATGAAAGAATAAGCACCACCCTATAAGCAACCCTGCCCCCATAAGTACGCAAAGCAAAGCAGTGTGTGCAGCTACAGCAGCAGTTCATAGCAGTATCACAGAGGATGATGCTGGCCTAAAATTTGACCTAAAACTGAACCATGAATTTGTGTGCAAACAGTGTGCTCAGGAGGCACGTGTGAGCTTAGGAGGAGGCTTTCACCCACACTGACAGTGTGAACACCCTTGAATCCAGTGCAAACATACAAAGTTAACTTACGGGGAATATAATTTTTATAGCATGTTATCAAAATTTCCCTCATCTCCAACAGTATGAAACAAATTCAAACTATGAAAGGTGGTACCTTCTTCAAATGACCACAAAGACTTCCTTAATTGTCACTGCTCTGTCATATACAATCAGTGTTTTCCAGTAGACACCAGTCATCCATTGTAATTTTTCATGCCAACTCATATAAAATACAGCTGCTATCCTAAAATAAGTTTAAATGGAATATCTAATCTTGTTTCAAAGCTTTTGTCACATGGCATTATCAGGATGTAAGTGGGTATTTTTATAGAATTGTTCTAGCTTCTGACTAATTAAAGTCTTTCAGGTGTAACTCTGCAGCTAGTTCTGACAATGTTGGGGAGATAAGTATTGGCACCCCATTAGGCTTGGAGCCTTTGAAGAGGCCAGGGATAGGACATAAAGTTGTTTTAAACGTAACTTCAGAAGATCACTGATGTTAATGTCTCTTCTTTTTCCCTTACTTAGATAAGTCTCAGTTTTCTGAAAACGTTTTTTGAAACTGTGAAGGAGCATGTCAGCAAGTCAGACTCTCCTATGGATTTCAGCACCATACTCAGAAAGGTAACATAATTAGAAGTATTCTTGCTTAATATCAGCAGGTCCTTGCAGCAGACCATTTATCATAGCATGCAGGTGCTTTAGAGCAATCAAGTCAGTCAAGGACATGCCATCTGTCACAGGCAGTTTGGTCTCAGCCTCAAGCAGCTCCTGTCAGTAGGATGTTTCTCTTTTTATTCATTGGCATGCTTGAGGTGGTTGTGGAAAGGTTCTCTGTATGTGGAACAAAGTGTGGAAAGATTTTCCCTTCCTGGGGAACAGTGGCATAGACCTTGACGAGACTTTGCCACCAGCAGAGGCGAGCTTCTCACTCTATGGAAGATGTTTTCCTGAGACCAGACCCCAGCTCCATTGCTGGATGTTCCCTGGCTCCTTCCACTCCATCACATCGATCCTTCCTTTACTTCATGGACCAGATCCATAAGTGTATTTAAGTGCTTAATTAAGAGCTCAGTAGGACTGAAAAAGCTCTTCCACTTAGGCCTGCGTCTGCTAAGCAAGAGAGGCACAGACACAGCTGTTCTGCCGCTGCCAAGCACTGCCCTGCAACCCTTTCAGGTGGTCTGCATGACAAACAAGGCAGTTGTCCAAACAGCAGTCTCCAGGGGCTCTATTTCCTGCACAATTTGCCAATGACTGAGACGTTGGAAATATTAATGCAGACAGAAAATCAATTCATGGACCTGAACTTTCCCTAGTAGTAGAGGCAATCAGAAAACTGCTGGGAAAATACTAAAACAGACCCTGCCTCAGGGCTATGATTTTAAAAAGGGAAAGGTTGGTTAGAGCTTGGCTTCTCACCCCCATTACCACTGATTTCAGGAGTTCTTCTTGATAATGTTTGTGTGAGACAGACAAAACCCCAGACAAAACTGAGTTTTATCATGGATGGCATTCAACATTTCTAACACACTCGGATATAAAGTAACATGCTGTGTGAGGCCATGTAAAGCTGTCACATAGGTAGTGTTTTTTATCTTCAACTTCTGCATGAATTTCACAGCATTTATTTCCAATGAGAACAAAGTCTAGAATGCTTCACATCTCTGCAGAGCTGTTAGACCTGTGCTCCCATGCATTGCTTGAGCACTATTGTGGGTTTTTATTACTTTACCACTTTGATTACTTTTTAACTTGTCTTTCACTTTTTTAACTCCCCCTTTCCCTCTTCCCCTATTTTCCCTAGGTACAAGGAAATCTCAGGTAAAATGCACATTACAAAACCAAAACTGTTGTTCCTCCTTTTGCCATGACATTTTTCTTTCTTGATAAGTTTCCAAGTCTTTTCTGCAGTTTTTCCAGGGTGACCTCTGCCAGACACACCAAATTTATTGCCTTAATTATACGTCTGCTGTCTTCTACTTGGAAAACATGAGACAGAGAGAAGATTTTGGCATCTACCTGAAAGTAAAGTGATGGTTTTGTTGCTGTTGTTGTTGTTGTTGTTGTTGTTGTCACCATCTTCAGCCTTCCTGCCTTATGACAGGATTTTAACAGCAGAATACGAAAGTCCATTGGAAGCAAAACTGTGTAGATAACATTTTACACAGATTTTTTGAACTGCAGAGGGTATCACAGATATGAAGTCACCCTTCTGAGCGTGTGTTCCACTACATATGTGAAAGTCCATACTTGTAATTTAGAACAGGCAAGAGGGAACAGCTGGCTGCATTTTTGCAGGCAGAAAATATGTACTGCCAGCCTCTATAGTTCAGACGTTTCACACACAATCCCTTGACTTGGTGACCTCCACCTTAACAAAGTGAAGTGGTTACAGAAAAAAAGAGACAAAAATCAAGCCACATTGTAAAATCTCCCTCAAGCGTTTTACTTCAATACACGCCCTGCATATTGGCTTGGTTCAGATGCTGGGGGGGGGGAAGACAGTGTGCTGGGTATCATGTGCATTAGCAGATGACAAGGGCTCACATTCTCTGACTACAGAACAGCCTCCAGCCTCTGAGCTACGCCACATCATCAGTGACATACACAAACCTCAAAACTGGAGAAGCATACCAAGGTTTCCTTCTGCTTAAGGAAAGGGGTATATGATACAAGCCAAAACAAGGGGAATAGAAATTCCGGAGCATGTCAGTGCTTCATGTGTCTTGGGAGCCCACGATGAGAACGTGGGGTGGGTTTTAGCTGAGCCTTGGCAAGAAAGCCAGACTGCTTTCCTTGCTCACGGGTGTTCGCCAACCCATGTGCCCGCAGGGAGGAAGCAACATCCCGTACAGAACAGCAAGCAACCCCTCTTCAACGGCAGTGGTTTAGCTCCTCTGATAGGTTTGCTTAAGCATAGATAAAGAAAACATAGAACTTAGAACCCAAACACTACTGGTAAGTGAGCATTTTCCTCCCTCTAAGGCTGGAGTAGCTACCAGTGATGACCTTGTTACAGCACTAGAGCAGGTTCTGTCTTTGCTGACACTGCAACAACTCCAGCCAGTGCAGCAGCGGGGCTCCTGGGGAGAGGGCTCTGCCCCTTCTGACTTATCATTAGCAGATCAGAGCGTCCTTGTAAATATTTAAAATTACGGGCTTAGAAAGAGAAACCTGAAGAAGTGGGCTTTTCTTACAGGCAGCCCAAAACTGGGAGGACACCTCTTTGTAGCAGCCAAACTGCAGCTTTTAGGGCCTGGGAGTTTCACATCGCTTGCTCCCTGACAAGGTTTTCACGCACTCATGCCCAGGAAAACGCTCCGCAGCAGGAAGCAGTAGGCGACCCTAAAAACTAAGGCGGCCCTCAAACATAACTGAGGTTTTCTTGACGAAATTAAAACAGCAGATAAGAGCACTGCTTGGTCCGCTAGCGTGGCCACAGCATGTAAAATGGGAAGCAGCCATGCAGAAAGTGAATCTGCAGGAGCAATGCAATTGCCCCTGTAGAGAGCCTTTACGCTGCTCTTGTTCTCACTGAGAAGTTCATCTTTAATTAGTCCCTGTCTCATTACAGTCAGCTGATGATGCAGAAAACTGTTTGCTACCTCCCTCCCAGGGAGCAAGCTGAGGCCTGAAGGAGGTTTTTCTTGTCTTCAACAGTGGTGCGAACAAAATGAACAGTGCAAGAGGCTGCATCTGCCAGAGCTGCTGGTGGCTCCTTTGCACCGACTGACGCGCTATCCCCTCCTCCTTAGCAACATCTGGAAGAGGAGCACGGACGAAACAGAGAAAGGCTTTGTCTGGTCACTTAAAGAGAAGGTGGAGAAGTCCATACGTAAGCAGCTAAGGTTAAAAGTCAAGTGTGCAATTAACAATTAGCAAGTTATGTGGCCTTTTTGTGCATGTCCTTTGAGCGTGAATGGGTCCCGTCTCCCTGCAGAGATGCAATGAGCATGTGCATGCCTTTCTACAATCATGAGTCCTTCCTCATTCTGTAGGAAATGATTGGTGCCACCCTTGTGCTGTCAAAGCCTCTCTGAGCAAGGTCATGGGACTCCCAAATCAGTGACTCACTTGTATTTGCTCAGAATCATCTGCGGTGACATGCAAACAATTAAGAGCAGATCACAAATTGGAACAAATCAAGAAAGTTTTCAAACAAAGAAGTCTTTGAGTTGGATTTATGTCTAGGGAGGATTTGTTGGGGCTAATCTTTAATAGGATAAAACTGCTCTCACAAGGGGAATATTATGTCAGTGACCTTTCAATAAATGACAGGGTCCTACCATGTAAAGTAGCTGAAGAGCTATCTCAGCTACAGATTTTCTCCAGCTATTGTGGAAAAAGAAGGGGTTAGTCCAGGAATTTTTTTTCCTGGCGTTTTAAGTAAATAATTTATTAGTTATAAATGATTTATTAATTCAGTCTTGTTCAGGAAGCTATAAATGCATCTCTAAGTGTCTTATGGTCATATAGTACATCAGCAGATAGGTTTATTCCCCAAAGGCCGCATGCAGCCCCCACTGAAATCAAAGACAAGGCAGTACATCAGCAAAACACTTATCCTACCAATCTGGGCAGGGAGAGGTGTCAGGCAGTGCTTCATCCTCAGCAGCAGCACACCATGCCCTTGAGCCACCCAGCATGGTGGCTTGCTCTCTGCCACCATCCTTCTATCCATCTTGGAGGCTGAAGGCTCCATTATCTCCTTGGGAGATGAGGCAGAGAGAGAGTTAGTGTCTTCTAGAAGTAGATAAATCTGGGTCTCCTCCTTCTTGGGTAAATACTCCAATGACAAAATTACCACCTAAAATAGAGACTCAGGTTCTTTCTCTTCTGGCTAAGTCTTATGAGGAGTCTAGCCTAATGGCTACACAAGGAGCACACTTTTTGGCACAGAATGGGTCCCACAGGAAAATAAGATGGTTTTGTTGCTAGTCTGAGGACTTCTGCTGGGAGGACAGCAGTTTTAGGTATGGCCCCAAAAGACCATGGGATATCTGGGGAATATTACTGGCAAAGAAATAGGTCCATCCAGAGATTAGATACCTCTGAGCCAAGGAAACCAAAGATAGAGGGGTGACCCCTCTTTGCTCACAGACACCTGACAAAGATCTGCCTTTTTATCAGTGAATCAGTGACATAAGAAACAGTTGCAGTCCCCGCATTCCCCTTCTGGTGTATATGTGTATGTGTGTGTGTCTGAAACCATTATTTGAAATATCACTCAATGCAAAAACTTGGAATTTAACTTGCAGGTCCATTAAAGTTTTCCCCATAACAGCCCTGAATCAGCAAAGACTTAGTCCCCATTTTTCACATTCTGAGGCAGCCCCATCCCCGTTAAATACTTCAGTCACTTCTGGCACCACTTCCCCCGAAATTAATTCTCATTAATTTCAACAGTCTTTTGATCAGGCTGTATATAATGAAAATTATTTTTCTCTCACTACCCCAGACAGTTTAGAAAGACAGGATATTTTTTTAAGAACTTTTTCAGATTACAGTTTAATTGAGTTTTATATGATTCCCCCTGTTCCCCAGTCAGATTGGTAAACACAACCTTTTCATTTAAGCATGTTTGAATGCATCGTTTGAAATTCTGGCTCTGCTCACCTAAGAAGATTTTAGGCATTTTTTACAATGAGGCCAAGATTTTATCTGGGGCTTCACATGGCACTTTGGCTTCCACTGGAGAAAATCGGTATTCATCATCTTCTAGAAGCAGGACTGGTTTTGCCAGCCTTGGCAGTAACTGATGTTTCACATATTTCAGGGGATCTGGAAGGTAAAGTCAAGTGGTTGGACAACTTTCAGAAGTTCAGGCAGCTGCAAGAGGTCATAATTTGGCCTCAGCTCTGGGATCGTGACAAGAGATTCTTTGTCCCAGAGGTAAGTAGTTTTTTAAAGGGCATTTTTCCCTGAGGAAGGTTTAGTTTCCTATCTACCTTTACAACGTGGTCTGAAGTTGGCTGGTTGTTTATATTCTAGTCACTGGGAATGGCTGTGCTCTAACAGGAGTGGCTGCAGTCTGAGCACTGCAAACATCGTAGCTGAACACGCTGGCTGTGCATGGTGCCTTGGTGGCAGCATGGGTTGCTCTCAGCTGGCATCCAAGACAGGACGATCATGTGGTCCAGGACAACTCTCCAGTGTTTGCTTTTAGGGGGCAGAATGAGATGGGATACATATAAATATTACTACCTTCTTGTAAGGATACAAAGTAGAAATTATTTGCCTCTCTGACTCCTCGAGCTGAGCCAAAGAAATTTCTATTTAAATTTAAACAGCGTTACAAAAAATTACACAGCATACCTGGGAACCTGTACACCTTTCTGCATACAGACTTTAAGCAGCATTATGGTAGCATCATCAAGTGGGCCTCATCTCAAGGATTACGTCTGTTCACATGCAGGGCTGCAAAAACCATTAAACTCACTCCAGAAAAGAAAAACACAGCTTAACATTTCAAAAGTGTGAACTCGTTTAAGCAATAGCACTGCTGAAGAAACACGGTCATGCTCGGTTATTTAGCTGTGCCATGTATTTAGCCCGAGACAAGAGCACACGTGTGCTCAGTTTGTTTAACTGCTGGTTGCCTCCCAGTTCGTCATCAGATATGTGAGATTCTCCATTCTCTCTCTCTCTCTCTCTCTCTTTTTTGGGTGAAGTATTTGAAGCAAAGCTTAAGAGAAAACAGCAGTGAAAACATTTTGTCTTCAGCAAACAGACTTCTCCTTCATGAAGGGAGGCTAACACTAGCAGGTAACGTCCCTAAACATCCTGGTAGCTGGGGTTAGCTTAATAGAATCACATTTTGTTATGGCAGGTCCAGAATGAACCTCTGCAACAGTATTTGGGCAGGTGCGAGAAAGAAAAAGCAAATGTACAGCTTGTCAGAGAGTCTGAGAAACAGCCAAACCACCAAAAGGATGAGTAATCTGCATGCTTGTTTATTGTCACATCTGGATATTCAGTCTGCCAGGTGCTGAAGAACTCAGCTTGACTGGCCAATGCCTGCCACTCAAAGGGAGTGTTTTACTGTCATGTTCAAGAATGTGGCAATAGGAAAACAGAAGGTTTAAACTGTCCTATACAAGGTGCCCCACAGGTGTCCAGGGACCAGGCAACATAGCTCACCTCTCTGGCACTACATCCACTCTGTGTATCATTGAAAATTACTGAAAAGTCCAGAGGTTTTTCTTATTTATATTTCACACTTCATCTCTGCTAAGACTGCTGTTTTGATGGCTACCTTGGAACAAGAAGGTGTTATCCTGCCGGGCAGCTTCCCTTTTATTAACAGAGCACACATACAACATGCCATGAACTCCACAGATAGCACAGGGGTCCCGTGTGAACATGTTGATGTCTACAACACTGCTCCCAGCTGTCTATCACCCAAGCCGAGTGTCACCAGACACACAGGCACCATTCCGTAGCAAGGGCACAGGTTGCTTGCTGGGGAGCTGCTGCAGAATTTCTGCCGGAGCAGGAGAGGAGGATTGCCTCCTTGCACGAGCAGGAAGCAGAGCCTGGGCAGTTTGGAGAAGACCAGCATCTGAAAGGATGCTAGAAGCTGCAGCCACGGTGGCTGCAGGGCTGTAGCAATGGTTTGACAGAAGTGAGCACAGCCCATGTCTTACATTTCCTTCACCACCTCCTCAGGAACAGAGGTGAAGAGAAAAGCAACACTTTCTGTCTCCTGCCACCATTATTACTGTTAAAAAGGGAGCAACAAAAGGGACACAGTCTATTTTTCAGTGTTTTTGTTTTCTTTCACACCTGAGGAGAATTATAGTATCAGAAGAGAAGAGACAACATCAGAGAGAGCAGAAGAAAAGCTTGCTGCTCATGTTTAGGGGGTGGTGGACAGAGGAGGAAAAAGAACACTGGGTCCTCTCCTGCAATACTTCCCTCCCCATTCATTGCCGTCTTGATGAGACATGAGCCCCCAATGCAGGAGGTAAGGGTGGCCATCAGGTGTTCACATTTCCTTCTGAAATATGTAATTAGAAAATGGAGAAGCAGGTATGAGCATAACTCTTACCCGACAAGACAGCCAGCTGCCTGCAATCCGCAATATAAAAGTGCCTGGCATTTGGCCCCTTGTATGAATGAAATATCTTTCAAGACAAAAATGAAATCATAAGTCAAATACAATGCCGCACAACAGAAAGAAGCATGTCCTAAAGTCACAACTCTGCACAGACTCACAAATTTGGTGTTAAGGTGAACTGTGCTTGTTTGAAACCGGTATCACTAAGACCACAATTGCATAGTTTTTTGGTAATCCTGTAATTGAGAATAGGAGCAGCTAAGAGAAGTGGGTTTGTTCAGATTAGGAAGAGAAGGCTCAGGGAAAACATTATGGTTGTCTTCAACTGCCTAGCAGCTGGATTAAGGCAGATGGAGCAAAAGGATGAGACATAACAGTGCAAGTTGCAGCACAGGGTATTCTCCCATTAGATATTTGGAAAAACTTGTTACAATCAGGGTGGTCAAATATTGGTACAGGGGACTGGAGAGATTGCAGAGTCTCCTCATATTCAAAATTTGACTGAACACCCTGCTCTAGCTTGGCCTGCTTAGCGCAGAGGGTTGGACCAGAGACCACCAGAGGTTCCTTCCAACTGATGCTATTAATGACTCTGTGAATGAAGCATAAATCAGAGAAACAGAAGTTTGTCCATAGACAAAGTTTACAACAAATAGTTCCTTCCTGTGTAATGCCCACAAAAGTCTACTGCTAAACAAGAGGTGCTGTGGAGAATCTTCTACCAAGTTTTTGACTTCATAGAAACTTACAGAAGGGTAGTTTTTATAAGATGTATAATACATATTAACTTGTTTGTTTGTAGTATTCTGAATCTCCACTGGCACATAAAAAGGTCCTCATGGTAGTTTCTTTATTCTCCATGCAGCTGGCTGATCCATGACCTAGTTAGAATTTTAATTTTCAGTAGTTACTGATGCTTTGTGCAACATTAATGAAAACAGGAAGTTTTCAAGCCAAACCTTTCAGAACCGAACACTCAAGACGGTATTTTAGGATCCTGCAAGATTGCCTGGAAGCAATAGCTCTGACCAATTCCATTTGCTGTGAAGAATATGTGAGCATTTCATGCCTACTTTTCATGCCCAAAGATGTCCTATTGGTACAGAGTAGCCAGAGGACAGATTATAAAGGATAAAGCCTGCAGCAGAGAAAGGAGGTGACTCTGGAAGTGAAATAGGACAGCAAGTTGGGACCAAAAGGGGAAATTAAAAAAATTAAAGAATCATGGAAATTAAAGATTCATGGAAAGGGATCACAGGAGCCATAAACAAGGAAGAGGTCAAAAGACCAAACTCTGCAAATCCAGTGGAGAGTCCAAATTTCCTGCAGGAAGTTATTTAAAAAATACTCTTGCTTTTGTTAAATTGCTCCCTATTATTTATTATAATAATACCTGAGTTTTCAACACATCGTAGAGATCAACCTGAAAGACTGAAGCATTCTCAGGCATTTGTTGTTATATTCCACATATCCTTGTGTCCTTTAAGCTAGGAAGAAAAGATAAGCCAATACTGTTTTGTGTAGTTTTTGAAAGGCTTTTGTGATGCTATCAATTAACATTTCATTGCTGCAAAAGCCTGTGAAGAAGGCAGCATACCAGTATTTAAAAGTACCAGGGAAAGCTGGTGCTTCTCTATTTCTTTATCTCTGCCATTTTCAGAAGGTTCACTGTTTATCAGGTAGGATTTGCTAATTTATAGCATGGTGACTGTTGTATTCATAGGTACACCAGGTGATCCAGGTCACTTTTCCTGGCAGGCAAGTAGTTGTTTTTTCATAATGAGGTAGCTCCTACAAGGTACAAGTATTAGTGTTAGCCAAAATCATTGATAGACATATGATTTTTGAAGTGCTGCATTTGAAAGTGCAGACCAGGGGATGAGTAGTTGTGTACTATGTTGGAAACCATGCTTCTTTTTTAAAAGCATTTTGTAAGATGTGGTGATTAATAGATGTGCCTCATCATAGAAGTAGCAATTCCTTAAAATAATCACAACATCAAATTGATTTTTTTTATTTTTTCCTCCTCAGAAAGCACAAGACTCCTTGACGTCTACCTCTTCCTATTCGATGATTTCCTATTAATTACCAAAATTAAACGTAACAAAAAGGTAATAATGGATAGAGATATACATGGTTGCGGTTGTTTTGTTTTTTAACTTGGTAAATATTTTGAATGTACTTTGGAACACTTATCTAATGATAAAAATACAAGATGACTAATCGGCATGAAGGATGGGTGATAATTCCTTATGCTAATAGCAAACCATAACACTGATTCAAAACCCTGCTTCTAGGCTCAGTAATGTTACAGGAATACTGAGACAGGCAGAATTTACATTACAAGACCCTAATATTTTCCTGGTGGTGTTCTGATATGCTGGATTCCTAAAGCTCAGAAAAGTTTCAAGAATGTAAGATGTTTTCTAATGCTCCCCTCATGACTCAGTCCAGCAACCTGAGAAATTTTTACCCCAGAGATATCAGCACTGTGGAAAGTAAAGAAAAAAAAAAAAAAGGAAGAAAACAGGGAAATGCTAAAATAGGTGGAAGGTTGGCTTTATTCTCAGTTCCAACACAGCCTGTTGTACGTGCCCTCTCTTTGCCTTGATTTCCCCTATTTTAAAATGGAGAAATAATGAATTTTCTTAAGAAAATTTTTATTGATGAAAGATGCTTTAGCATGAGTTCTGTAGATGATAAATATCTGTATTTAGCCACCAAAAAAAGGCACTGGATGACCTGAAATTCCCAATGTTCAGTGTAGGAGTATACCTAGCTAACAAAACTGATGAAAATGATGTAAATTAAGGCTATGAAGATGATGTAAATTAAAGTTAAGTGGACCTGTGGTAAATCTCAGGAATTTTGTGTCTGATTTAAAGATGACTTGGGTTTTTTTTAAAGCAGCACCTGTTCTGCCATTGTGGGAGGTAGAGAAGGCATGCAGTGAGAAATGGTAGAACAGCAGCACTGTCCCTTAGCAACGGGGGGAATGAAGGGAGCAGGTATTCAAGTCACCTTGTGCCCTAAGGCGAGGGCACGTGTGTGAAGGTTGCCCCACATACATGTGTTGGTGAACCTTCAGTGAAGGGCTGCAACCTATCTGGAGCTCCAGCAATTTTGTGTTCTGCGTGTACACAAGGGGAGATGGGGAAACATACCTCCAAGGAACAGAGAAAAGTCCTTTGTTAAAATAAGGGAGGAAGGGGAAAACGAAGACCCTTTTAACACCTTTGACTGACTGCTTTCTGCCTGTGGACTTGCACTGTGTTTCTATTGTGGCTTTTTTAATACAAAGTGTGACCTTGCAGGAGAGCTCCAGATACTGATGAGTTTTTCTGAGGTTCCTCAGGCAAATAAGCTGTCTCAGTACCTTTGAGAAGAGAAAGCACATCATTTAGGGCTATTTAGTGCCTATACTTCATGAGCAGATGGCAGAGAACCAGCTAACCAATTTCATTTTCTATTCCCAGAAATATGGGGGCTCAGACACTGGCTTAATCGCTGTCTGTCCTTCCCTCACTCCTGAGTTGCAATCGTTCACAAGAGAGGGTGGGTTTTGCACAGTCCTAGACCAGCCCATCCCACTAGACAGACTGATACTGAAAAACATCGACCCCATCCACATTACAGGTACGTACCCGTGTGCATTTGAACGTCTTCATAAACACCATCTCCCCACGCTGCGTACGCGGCAGGGTGAGGATAAGACATCGTTTGCCCACGACCCACCCCCAGGTGCGTGGAGTGCAAACACCGGCGCCTCGGCACTGCTCGGCTTCCCAGCTCCGCTCTTTCTGCGTGGCATGACCAGCCAAGGCACTCCATGTCCCACTGCCTCTAACAGCGACTTTCGCACACACGCCAGTGACTGTCAGATATTATCCATTCACCCTCCAAAGGAGGTATCAAGACTCCAATGACTCCCTTCTTACGAACCAAGTCTTTCCTTGCCCTAACTGTCCTAACACACTCAAACTCCAGGCCTCTTTCCCAAATACATTTTCAACTCCATACCAGTTACGCAGCAGTTTTTAAGTTGTCCCATTGCCCAACACCCCACTGCATGGCTCTCCTGAGTGTCCTCACACGTGCCCAGCACCAATTTTGAGGAGGATGGAGGATTTGCCTCCTGCTGCTGCTCCTACTCACCTCTCCGCTGGCTCTCAAGAGGATGGAAGTCAATTGCCGTACATCAATGCTTCCTTCCCCCCAGACATCCAAACACATCACCAGGGGAAACTGCCTCCAATAACATCTGTTGCTGTGCCCTTGGGTGAGGAGGGGAGGAGAACTGACCTCCACAGAGAGTGACCAGCCTTACCCTGCCAAAACAACATCCCTGGAGTCACCAAATCAGAGCTCGGTTGAGGGAGAAGGCATGAAAAATTAGGCCTCCTCTTGGTCCGAGCTGCTTATACAGGCTCTCACACACCTCAGTCTAACACTGCCCAGATCCCAGGAGCCTCCTATGTCAAAGAGAAATAAAATAAATACAAATCTCTGGGCTCTAGGGCCTGTCAGCCATCCTAATCCTAAAGACTGGGAGGAAAAGCTCAGGGACGTAGAGTGCTCTGTAGGAAATCAAGAAATATGGAAAATAAACCTAAAGCCCATGAAATTTATGATAACTTTGAAATATTTTCACCAAGAGTAATTAGCATTCAGCATCAATGCTGATAGGAAACAAAGGTAGGCAACAAATGGCAAATGACTAAAGATGAGATAAGGGGACGAACACAAAGCAAAACAGTATTTTTTTAAACCTGCTCCAGGCACTATCTGTTTGCCTAATGAGCCTCCCCACCAAGACAGCAGAAATGAAGGAAATATGGCAGGCACCTCTTGCCTGCGGGGTAGACAGGAGGGCAGCCCCACCTTCCTGCCTCAGCCCAGACCAGATGCAAGGTCGGCAGCTCGTGGGTGCTGGAGAGGGTGTTGCAGCACATGCAACATTGGGCATAGGAGCCACAATGGAGATGGGAATAAGATTTTTGGATTTTTTTCCAAGCCAGCATCTGCTACATTCAGAGATTTCTAACCAGGGTCCTCCTTATCGCCGTGACCCAGCCGCAAACCCCAGAATAGACGAAGTTACCTGCTGCATGCCAGCCCAGGCTCTGGCCACTGGTTATGGCCCTTCCCTGCTCTCTGGACCTCATCACCTAACTTCTCTCCTGTATATTCCTACCAGCTTTATTACAGCTGTAGCTATGGCAGTCTCCATTACTTGCCTATAGTCTTGTAACACCTTGGAAGCCCCATCTTAATACAGGACCTGTTGGAGTGGAGTACAATGAAAATAGTGAGAAAAATTACTATAGGTAGCTTGCAGTTCAGATCTCCACCATTTTGTGGAAAGCAAGATGAAAAACTTCCAGTGTCACTGGAAAATGTC